TAATTCGTTTGTATGTGGGCTCTTACTAAACTCTTAGGCCTTGGCAGGACTATATATACGTGGGAGCTCTATATTGTAATAACCAATATTCAGGAATAAAGAATAGTCTCCCTATCTCTTGTCTATGTGTTCTACTTTCGTCTATTATATTGATCCTGACAGACAGAGTTGGAAATGTCGTAACCGTTTGCGACATATTTTATAACAAATATAAACCGAATAGAACAAAAAAAAAACAGTTAAATCGGACGCCGATCTATTTTGGGGTACGAAGCGTCTGCCATACTGAGTTAAGTCCTCTCGGCAAGAACCACCCAAGACCATGACCATGGATGGCCACCATGTGTCCAACAGCGCCATCGCTCATCACCTCGCCATCGCGGCTGCCACATGTGTAACGCCGCCGGCCCTGATTCACACGGTGGCCGAGTCCGTTTGCAGATTTGCCCTGGGGACACGCGGAGGTGCCTCCGGCCGGCGCGAGGCCGGGCGAGGAGGTCGGCGTTGAGAGGGTCTCTGGCCAGCGTAGGAGGGGCGAGGTCGGACGACGATGCCGTCCTAGAGAGGAGCGATGAGACCTCCGTCGTGGGGAGGGACGAGGCGACCGGCGCGGGGAGGTGCGAGCCCAGGACGAGGCAGCCAGCGCGGGGAACAATCCGAGACCGGAGCGGGGGGGGGGAGGTGGTGAAGAAACTGCACGTGGAGAAACCGTGCGGTGAAAGTGAAACTGTGCTATGGGATAATGTGAAGAGAGAAAAAGGAAAATAAAAAAATAAGTATAAGAGAGAAAAAAAGATCAGGGTATTTGTTGTGGACTGGAAGGGCCGCTGAATAGAAACCCACATCAATTTATACTATCATTTACTTTTCCTTTTCTTTCCTTTTTTATTTAATGATCTGCGCACAAATAGTAGCTGAGTGTGCGTTATGTAGATTCAAAAACGATTTTGTATTCCTTTCTTTTTTTAATATATTTGGTAGCCTTATATATTATAAAGCCTAAAAAGTAAAAATTCTTTCTTTTGACTCTCACTCTTTCCCACACATCGACTCACTTATCTTCCATCCCTTTGTCCATCGTTCTTCACTCTCACATTTCTTGTTTTAAATTTGGAGCTATAAAATCTTTATTGGCATTGCACCACTCATATCATAACATGGCCGTCTGAGCCTGTTCACATTACGGCGCGCCTTCCACCCTTCTTAAACTCATAGCAAGTGTACATAGCAACTATCTATTTAAGTTTACTCAATCTCCTATCATTTTCTCATGCAGGAACCGTAAAAAAAATTTCTCATGCGATATTAGTCTTTTATTTCATTAGCATTTATTATAGGCCTTAAAATTATTTGATTTAAGATTGGACTAAACACAATATAAATAAAAAATTAGCTATCTCATTATTCGTACGATCAAAAGATTTATTCTCGTTGCAACGCACGGACATGTTTACTAGTATTAATAATAAGGCAGCACTCTGATTGATGCTTTTGGTTATTGTGCTTAAAAGTGGATCTTGATGAGTGAAAAAATTAGTCATTCTTCAACATTCCGTGGTTCGGTACTTGAGTCTTGTGTTCCTTCACATGGCGAACAGGTTCTGCCTTCTGAACGAGGAGCTCGATACGATGACGAAGGTTTTGAGGCTTTCGGCGCCTTCGATGTACGGTAAATAATGGTCGGATGGTTAGTCGTTAAAAGTGTTAGTGCATACAAACTCTATCTCTAACGGTCGTTCTATGTCCCTAAATAAATGTTGTTCTCGCTTCCGATAAATATCTTTAACTAATTTTATATAATAAATATTAATATTTATTATACATAATTAATATCATTAGATAGACCATTGGATCTATTTTCGTACTAAATTTATTTAGAGATACAAATGTTGTACGTAATTTTTACAAATCTAGTCAGTTTATGGTACGAAAATAAAAAAAACGACTGTTATGATATAACTATGTATGTGATGTGATCTGATTTTGAAGTTTGGCCGAGCACAGCTATTTTTTTTAACGCCAAGATACAAGAGCTCCAAGGTAGAGAAAGGGGTGCGCCAAGATACAAGAGAGCTTGTGCGCCAAGATACAAGTACAGTACATTTGTCCGTCGTCCGGTTTCGAGGAATATGAGTGAGTACAAGAGCGCACTACCTCGCCCTCTCTGGTGCACCAATTAAGATTGCGAAGTGACGCTGGTGCGCCAAGATTGAAGATTGAACTGGAGTTTGGCAGTTCGGTACAGCCGTGTGGTTCTCTGCAGTAAGGCCTTGTTTAGATGATGGTTAGAAATCAGTATTTGACACTGTAGTATTTTCGTTTGTATTTGGTAATTATTGTCCAATCATGGCCTAACTAGGCTTAAAAGATTCGTCTCGTAATTTACAATCAAACTGTGTAATTAGTTATTTTTTTTATCTATATTTAATACTCCATGCATATGTCTAAAGATTTGATGTGATGGAGAGAGAGTAAAAAAAATTGCAATCTAAACAAGGCCTAAGTCTGAATTCTCACACATGCTGAAATTTTTGCCTATATAAGTACACACTGCCCTCGCCTGCCTAGACATTGTCGAGAACCCCCACAAAGCCCCGCTTCTTACATTGTCAAGAAAATTTTGGGTTGGAATTACCGACAGAAACATACCCTAATGTATGTTTTTATTTTTCCTACTTATAAGGGTAGGTACAACAGTGTGATACCCATGCTTGAACTTCTTGCCTTTTTTACAGTTCAATTTTATCGACCGTCTTCTTGGACCAAGGGAAAACTCTTTAAAGAGGATTCACTTGCCTTGTGGATGATTTTTTAATCAAATCTATTGTTTTTTATTATATTTGTGTGTGTGTGTGGTGTGTGGGGGGGGGGGGGGAATTTGCACCCTAAGATCAACACAGCTCCGCCTCTGCTTTGAGCCCCTTCAATGTACAATACAACCATAGTCGGATGGTTAGTTGTTAAACAACATGTATTGGTCGACTGCGGCTGTAGCCTTACCTGTCAAGATGGTCCCACCTGCTACCCACTGTCCTCCTACACCGAGCGAAGGAGTTTTGGCGCGAAGGTTTCCTCCTCCTGCTATATTTCTACCTCCACCTCCCCCACTGTTTCCTCTTCCTGCTGCTATATTTCCACCTCCACCTCCCCACCACACTGGGATGTAAGCAGCAACACCCTGCTCATAGTCACTGTGTCACTGTTGTCCGTGTTAGTAGTTTTGGCAGTTGCGGCTGCTTGCTGGTTTTGCAACTCTCAGTAAAAAAGAAGAGATTGGGGAGTCACCAAGGAGACATCGAGTTGCAGGTAATCTTTAGTTGCAGGTGTTCTCGCAGCGGAGGACGCCGAGGAGGAACCGGCAGGAGACGCTACCTCCTACGGCTTCAACGATCCCGTCCAGTTCGAATTATCCTTTTGCATCATGAAACACAACACAGTCATTGCATCGTGTTCAGGAGTTCTGGCTAGAAGCTCACCATTGAATTCAGTCCAACGGTGCATGCACATGGGGGCATATGCCCTTAAGGGCAGATTAAACTTTCCCGTGTGATGCCATTGGCCTCTTCGGCTCTTCATATCGTACTGGCGATCTGCTCTTTATCTGCACGTGTTATATGTGGATGTATGCACATCTGCATTAGTTTGAAGGTGGACCCTTTCGTTGATCCACCTTCTATTATTAAATCTTAAGTTGTTTCTGGCTTTTCATATATGCCATAATGTGGTGAGAACTTTATATAACAGTTCATTAGAAGTTTTGAACAGGAATCATGAAGGAGAAGAGACAACGAAAGTTGAACATCATCTGCTTCCATAGGAAGGACATTAGTTCTAAGAGAAGGATCTAAACTAAACCAGATTGCTCTGACAAATTCACAATCAAAGAAAAGATGCTTACCATTTTCATTCTTATCACAGAGTTCTAAGAGAAGTATATAAACTAAACCAGTTTGCAGTGGTTGTCAATGTGGGTGGAGTATTTTGAAGCCCATTCACCCACTGCACAAGCACGTCGAACTAGTATAAACTCATATGATCCCGTAACTATATATCCCGTATAAACTTGTAGGATCCCATAACTATACATCCCAACTCAACTCTCATAATAAATAAATTGTCCTTCCCAATCATTTCAAAATATATGATCCTTCTATTTAGAATAAATATCGATGCAATTATAAAAACCAAATTGAGACAGATACTTATAAGTGTTTAAAAAGGGTAAAATGATGAACATCCATAGTGCATCTATAGATATACCTTGTATCAAAAGTTGAGACGTAAGTTCAATCTTAAAAGAACTTATACAAAAACAACATAATTCATGTTAATGTGCAGACAAAATTCATGTGATTCGTGTCTCTTACAGTACATATCCACCTGCTTTTATATTTTTATATGATTTTTAAATGGTTTTTGCATCTCAACAAGAGTCGAAGTTTCGTATAACTGTCCAACTTCCTCTCCAAGCTTGGCAACCGCCTCTAGGAGTTTTGTTGCAAAACTCTGATGCGATGGTTCCGAAAAAAAGATATGATTTGATATGATTAATATATCTTAGAAAAATCATATCTTTTTTTGGTATTAAAAGAAGATAATTTTTGTATAAAAATTATAGATCTCGACGAGATCTACAACTTTATAGTAGTTTTGAGTTTTTTCAGTTGAAGTCGTTAAGATACTAAAAAAAATTAATGACATATTTAAACTTAAGGGTATTTTTAATATTTTACACCTGCAGTTTGACACCGTTAGAGCCCGATCTGACAGCAGTGACGAGGAGGATAAAAAAAAATTAGAAACTTTTCCTGTAAGTGATAGGGACTGAGATCATTTTTTTTTATGGCTCGCAGGGAACTCCTCGCTCCGCACCGCACGGCCACACGCCGTACGCCCCGCTCGCCTTTTCCCTGCCGGCGGCGCGCCTTTTCGAAAAAAACCCCAACCCAGTTTCAAACAGAAAAAACCCAGTCCCCAAACTCACTAGATCCGCGGCGACCATGCGGCGTGGCGGCGGCCGCCGGTTCCCCAAGCCCTCCCTGGCGCCCTCCACCGCATCCGAGGCCACCCCAGCGCTGGACGCCAGCGTTATCCGCAACCTCGACTCCGCCTTCTCCCGCCGCGACTCCGACGCCGCCAGCCTCTGCAGCAGCCGCCCCGCTTCCACCGCCGGTGCGGGCGTCGGCGCCGCCCCCAACTTCTCCGACCGCCCCATGCAGGTCGCCGCGCTCCGCGTCGTCAACGGATTCCTCGCCCCCGGCGTCACGCTCCGGGGGCCTCTGCCCGCCGCGCGCGACATCCAGGCGGCGCTCCGCCTCCTCGTCGACCGTCTCCAATTGGCCCGCAACGACGCCACGTTCGAGGATGACCTCATCCAGGATCTCCGCCTTCTCGGGTGCCCCTACAAGGTCACCCGCTCCGCGCTCAAGGCCCCCGGCACCCCGCACTCGTGGCCGGTGGTGCTCTCCGTACTCCACTGGCTCACCACCCTCTGCTACGCCCAAGGAGACGACCTGGATGCCCAGGGCGACCCATCCAACGATCTCTTGCTCTACACCACGCAGGGCTACTCCCACTTCTTGTTGGGGGACGACGACGCCGTCGTGGCCCTCGACGAGGAGTACACCTGCAAAGCCCGGATGACTGGTGAGGCGTCCGTTGCAACAGTTAGTGCCCTGGAGAAGGAGGCCGAGGAACTGGAGACCGAGGTGAATAAGCTCATCTCGGGTCCCTCGCGGTTCGGAGCACTGGAGTCAGAGAAGGAAGCCTTCATTGCTGATATTCTCAAGTTTAAGGCAGTGGTGGATGCTTGGAAAACTAAGATCAACGAAAGGGAACATGTGTTGGGGAATTTGGAGAAAGAGTTGAGGCAAAAGTGTCGGACACCGAGCGCTCTGCTGCTGAAGTTCAGGATCTATTGAAACAAGTGGATGCTCAGCCGGTGGATGTGAGGGGTATGGATAGAATGCGTAGGGAGATGCAGGCGATTGCAGATGATATTGCCAACCCCGAGAAGGGGAAAGCAGCACTGGAGGATAAGGTCTGGGAAGTTGAAGCTAAGCTGGTTACCAAGCTTGAGGAGCTTGAGAAGCTTGCTGAGCAGTGCAACCAGGCCCTCAAAATTCATTTGAATATTTTTTATAGTCAAGTGCCATGCTCTAGATTCTTGTTAGAATTTATTAGCTCAAAATTCTTTGTATTTTGGGAGAATGATTTTGCTCTGTATAGATCTTTAGGCCTTATATAGTTGTGGTTCTAAAAATCTATTAATTTTCTTAATTGTTTTTTTGTTTCAGATATGTTTTGTTTCGGTGCTATTTGTGCTCATCATAGTTTACATTGTTACTCTTGTTGTTGGCATGCCCCTTTATTTGTGCTCATTGTAGTTCTGTATGATTTATATAAATTAGTGTAGGTTAGGTTGTTATCGTTCACTTGTATTTATGAATCTGAAATTTCATGAGTGGTTTTATTACACATTTGAATGCCTGATTTTTCAGTTAACCTTGAGTTTCGATTGGTTTCAATTTACAGTGCTACTATCTATCCAATCAACAAAATATCAAATGCATGAAATATTAATCAGCTTGGCCTTATGACTTTGGTGTTGATCTATTTTGATGTTTTTCCTGATCACCTTGAATGGTATATAAATCAGAGAACCACAAAGAACTTGAAATCAAAACCATTGTAAAGAAAGTCAATGCACAATGTGAAAAGTAATTTATGTACAAACTATGTTATTCTATTATATATTTTCTTAAAAGTATTTAATGCCTGGTCCTTAAGACCTCAAAAAATTGAATAATGCGGACTGGACATGGACATTAGTAATAGGATAATTTTGCTAGACAAATAAATTGAACTTGCTGGAATATGTGCCAAACGGTGAATACTGTAATTTTTTACGCTGAAAATTCTATTGTGAAGTCCAACGATTAGTTTCCACAAAAATTTTGGGGGAAAAAAACATTTCACTAAACTTTTGGGGCCTTTGAATAGCCAGCTGACATCATGTTCTGTTTGCTGTTGTTGTGTTTACTAAACAGAAAGGCAAACAAAGGTTGAAATGTTATTTTTTTAACTGTGGTTCTGTTGTTTGTATCTGCTCTACTAGCTCCTTTTGTTAGTTCTGTTTGTATTATGTGCTCATTTTTAAACTTCTGGGCCACTTTTCAGGTTGAAACCTACTGTTGATTTTCAGTACATGATAAATTCTAAAGGATCTTCTCCTGCTGAGATGCTTGGTACTGGTTACAAAACAGTACTAAAACCTGCACTTGTGGCTCATGTTGAGGAGAACAAGAGGAGTTGTCTCTCAAATCTTGAAAACCTAAATGATCTACGGAAGCAGCTGCAAGGAAATGTTAAGGTTCTAGAGGAGGAAAGGAATAATATTTCCAGTCTCCAGGCAAAAAATGACGAAGTTAGTCCATCTCTTCAAGCACTACATTACATTTTATAGCCTATAGAGTAAATGTGATATGAAATTATTTTGTCCTTCCTCTTTTATTTGTTATGCTTATTCTGAAATTACTTTGCACTATTGGCTAAATGATAGAACCCATCACATTTTTGGAAATGATATATCAATAAGACAATTAATCAGATGTTGATGTAGTTTCTAGAGTCAGTTGGTTCAACATGATAAAGCTTTACTGCTGCTGGTCCTTTTAGTAAATTATTAGCTGGATTAACCAGTAATCAAGCCTTTTTGAGCTGATATTTACTAAAATCAGGAAGAGTAGTGCTTTGTATAAATGGGCTGTGTGCTGGGCATGTTCACACATCAAATTTGTGGTGAAAAGGCCCCAAGTATTCGAATTCGACTAATTATGATTAATTGGCGCCGTTATTGGAAATTGCAGTTTGGGTTTTAGGTCATGGATTATACTTTGATGTGTTGTGATTTGACTTGAGGGTTATCTAGTCTATTGCTTTTCTAATGCTATGCCTTTTGATTAGAGAAGCGAGACAGTGGGCATATTGCCAACATCTATTTGCTAAGAGTTAGGCAGATGTCCTACCCTCCTTTTATCTCATTTTATAATTACGCATGAAACTTATGGTGAAGTTAGCACGAAGAATGCCTTTGGTTAATGAAAATTCATTTGTGCTGTTAATAAGTTCGATTTTGGATTTATGTCATTGATTATACTGGTATGTTGTGATTAGACTTGAGAGCTACTAAATCAAACTTCTCTAACTTTGACCAAGTTTATAGAAAAATGCATCAACATCTGCAACATCAAATTTGTTTTATTGCATTTTCCATGAAATGTCTTTGTGTCTTTATTTGAATTTGTAGATGTTAACATATTTTTCTAAGAACTCGTTCATAGTTGGAGCAGTTTGATATAAGACAATGCCGAAGTGAACTGTAATTTGGAATGGAGGGAGTAAGCGGATGCCCTCCAACCTTCATCTGAATTTAGGACTTTTGAAGACAATATCAAATTTAGAGCTGTAATAAAACAATGAATATGCCGATCAGTCAAGTGTTGGAACAGTTGTCAAATATTTGAAATTGGATCCCCCCCCCCCCACCCACACACACACACAATGTAGGAGCATTTAATTGATTATGTTATTGTGGTTTGCATTCTTTTTTGGGTTTTCATGAATTTCTTATCCACTCTTTTCATGGTGATTCTAGAGTCTAAACAATTATCGATATGCACAAGTGCTTGGCCTGGCTTTTACCATACAGCTTAAGTTTATCTGGATTCTTACAGAATAATTATTGCAAAATAATAAAGTTGAACCTCTTGTATCTGTTGTCTAGATGGTTGCTCGTTTGAATTCACTGGATTGTGAAATTATAAATGATGACTCAAGATTCACACCTGAAGCTGGACAAATGAAAGATGAGTTGGAGAAAAAGAAGAATAGTTTGATTTCTCTTGAAAAGGAGGCAGATGATTTTTTTAAGGTACTTCTGACCTTTTGTTTTGTTAATACTTAAAATACATTCCTTTATTAGTTTAGCACATTGGAGTAAGACAATTCAAACGAAATTTGATTTGATAGATATCGGAGAAGAGGCTCCAAGATGCAACACTTAAAGCTGACGAAGATACTGAGGCGGCTGCTAAGGATCTGCTGGAGCTTCTTGATTCCATGGCTGAATATAAAGAGTTTATGGAAACAACAATTGCTCAGAGGAGGAAGGAACTCTATGAAACTGCTGATTATATAGCAGGCCTGTTCGCTGGAACTTCTTAGTAGCCAAAAACAGCCATTGTACTACAGTGCTAGCAGAGAGAGCACAGCTGCTGTAGCTGCAAATAAGCTCCAGTACTTGCTAGCGTCTTTGGCATCCAAGACAGTCATCACCCAAGTGCTCAAAGGAAAGTAGAAAAGTACTTGATTAATACTTTACACTTGTTCTCTTTCTATATACTTGTTGTAGTAGTATCTTGGTTATAGCTACTGTAAGAGGTGGAAGTGATTGTAGCAACATGTATTCCTCGACCAGGGTTCAAAATTTACGCAAATTTTTGCGAATTTCGGTAATTTCATGGGCATTAGTCTAATGCATACACTTTATTGTAAATATATAACTCTAGACCCATATTTTATATTGTTTATGTTGCATACTCTTCTACTAAATAGACGTGTAATAAAAAATTATGCTAATATTTTGTTTAGATCTAAATATATAACTCTGTACTCATTTTTTATTAGGCCTTATGAAGGTCAAAGATCACTTTCTGAATCTTTCTAGTGTTAAATCTTCACAGTGACACCCAAATCAGGTCATGGGAGAATGAGTGGTTTCGAAACTTTACTGTCAAACAACACCACCTTCCTTATATCAAGTTACAAGAAAAATCACATTTCATTTGCTCATGTCCTCAACCATACACCTTTTAATATAGCTTTTTAGAGAATGTTAGTGGGCACATATTACTTAAATGGAATGAATTGGTTAGAAAGGTTGCATTGATGCACCAGGATGGCCAAAAAGATTCCATCAAATGGTCTTTTACTAATCAAGGGATCTTCAGTTCTTCACAGTGCTCTCAATGTATGAACATTTAGTAAAAGGAAATGGTATTGCCTCTCAGTAAGTCTCTTTTTAGATGTTAAATTACCTCTTATAAAACCAAAATCTTTGTGAGGTTTTTTCTTTTACGGAGCTATTTTAACAAAAGACAATCTCATAAAGAAAAATTAAAATCGAGATAACATTGTTTTTGCAATAAGAAAACAATCCAACACCTATTTTTTTAATTGTCTTACAAGATTTATTTGGAGAGTCCTTCAAACCACATTTGGTTTAGTGCCACCAAGTAATATGACAAGTTTTGTAGGATTCTGGCTTCACCTAGCAGACAAAAAAATATGAATTCAAATTAGAGTGAAAGCGAGTGCAATTTTTTTGGTCTATGTGGTTTAGTATAAATGATGGAGGCAGTTAACGTGTGACGGGGCGCATGGTCATGAAGCGTGTGACCCCTCCCACCGCCGCCTCGCACCACCACTCACAGCCGTCCGCGATTCACCATCTTGCCACCCTCCGACCTTGCCCTCCGCTAATTCGCCGGCTCCGTCAAGCAGTCACCCGTGAGCCTCCCCTGCCCCTGCTCTGCCCTAACCGCCACCTCCACCTCCACCTCCACGGTCGGCGGTGCTCCACCTCCTCACCTCCTCGCCGCCCCTGCCCGCCCACTGCCGGACTAGCCTACTGCCAGGGATAAACGACTTGTTTCAGCCGGAACAGTGTGACAAAAATAGATGTACCGATCACCATCCTCCAAAAGCAATGGGCTTGTTCGCTGGTTGGGGCTGGTGCTGATTTTGGTTGGCTGGTGCTGGTTTTTTGTGAGAGGAAAACATTGTTGGCTGGCTGGTTTGGGTTGGCTGAAACCAACAAGCGAACAGGCTGAATATATGGTAGGCTAAGTTTGAGGTGGGCATGTCATGTGTCGAGACAGTGATAACTGAGATTTTCGCCGAGCGCTGATAGCGTCATCTAATAATTCTTTTTTGAAAATAGATTCTCGTATAATAATAGGCTTTAACGATTAGATTGCCCGTCTTGGTTTTTCTAATTGCTTTTCGAGTCTTGCTTTAAACAGCCAAAGGTTACGCATAGACAAGAATAAAATGTTTTTTTTTTCTCTAAAAAAGAAATGCTATAGAAGCTGATCAAGAATCAAACAGTAAAGATCAGGAAGCTAATTGAATTTGTCGACATCATCATCATCATCATCATCATCATTATCATCAGAACACGCAGTTTCGATCTGGCGACCGGCATGCTCTACCTATGTCGCATGGAATCAAGTCCGATTCGTACTTGAAAATTTCTTGTATGCATACGTGCTTCACTTGGACTTCAGCCATCTTTCCCTTCCGTAAATCATACCTGCAATCCGAGTCAAACACATTATTGGATTATGAATGCAAATTCAATAACTAATGTCGATCGTCATGCAGCGCTACTAGTTGATTACCACATGACTCTGCAGAAGCTATGCAAGAAGGCGACATCGGAGGAGTGGAGGTCACCGAGGATCACCGCCGGCCCTTCCTTCGCGTGGAGGCTCTTCAAGCTCACCGTTATCTTCTTCCTCCACCTCCCTTCTCCATAGTTCGCCATCTCCCACACCTCCAGCACCTCCTCGTCCACAGCGGCGTCCGTGAGCACCAGCAAGCACAGCCTCCCTTCCACGGCGGCGATCCGCTTGCGCGCCCACGGGTCGTCCATCTCGTCCACCTCCCTTGGCAGCGGGATGAGCCGCCACGCCTCGGCCCTGACGTCGAACGCGAACACGTCCTGCGCGCCCGTGAGGCGGTCGGGCCAGCGGAGCCAGTGCATGGCGCCGTGCGCGCGCACGGCGGGCGCCGCGGGGCGGAAGAGCGAGACCGGGCAGAGCGGCACGTCCGGGGCGCGGCGCCACGCGAACCGCCGCGAGTCGAACACCTCGCAGCGCAGCCGGTCCCGCAGCGCCGGGACCGAGAACCGGACGACCTTGAACTCCGCCGCGGTGCTGGAGGCGGAAGGCGAGGGCCGGGCCACCATGGCGACCGCGGCCGTGCCGAACCGCACCCGCGGGCTCGGCAGCGCCCGCCACTGCCGCGTGGCCGGCTTGCACACGTAGTAGCAGGGCGGCCGCGCCGTGTCGGCCTCGACGCAGCACGCGAGGCCCCGATGGGCGGACACGGCCTCCACGCGGACGTGCGCGGACGGCAGGAAGTCGAGCGAGATCGCCTTCGGCGTCGGAGAGCCGTGCATGGAGACGAAGTCGGCGTGGTAGAGGTTGTGGGTCATGCTCTGGACGAGGTAACCCGACACGGCGGCGGAGCGGCGGCAGTGCAGCGGCGCGAACGCCGGCTCGTAGGTGAGCCTGCGCCACCGCGTCGACACCATGCGGCACGCGGGGAGGTCGTCGAGCGGCACGCGCGTGAGGAGCTCGAACACCTGGTCCTCGGGTAGGCCACCGCCGCCGCCGTTCTCCTCGGCGTCGCTGTGGCTCCGCTCCTCCTCCGGCGCCGACAACGGCGACGACGCCATTGCCGCTTGCGCGAACTGCTGTGTTGACTAGTAGTAAGAGGTAGTAACAAAAACGACCAGCTATATATGTAGCTATATATAGGAAATCTGCTCAGGAAGACAGGAACGACGACCGAACGATGTGGATCACAGGATTCACAGCAACAACTCGTCGTCGCTAACCTCGGTCGTCGTATGTGCTATATATATGGTGACTGGTGAGAAAGATCCATGGTGGACCGTCCGTCCATCCGTCCTTGAGATCGACCTGGACGACAGCCCATCCATTAATGCGAATTACACGTTTTTACACAGCCGCCGCCGGCCGAAGAAGTTGCCATATTTAACATCCTGCACGCACGTTTATACTGCATGCTGACATCTCGTGTTTCCGTAGCAGCCAAGCATATATAGTAGACGAGATCAGGTGTTTGTTTCATACCATGCAAGGAAAAGCCATCTATCGTTGGGGATTGCACAATGGCTAGCTATACGTAGTACAGGTCGAGTAACCTGCCTGACTGCAGGAGCACAAAGCTACTCCTCCTACGTATGTGCTAGGAGTAGTAGGACCAATGCAATTCGCAGCTCACAAGTCACAGGCTCACAGCTAGGAGCAGGACTGGAGTACTATGCAAGAAACCTTCAGTTTGAAAGACTCGCGGCCAAGAAACTACTCCTCTGGAAGACAGCCAATTCTTCAGGTTGGACTGCATGCAGGTTCCCAATGCAAGAGAAGGGATTCATGTTTCTTTGACATTCTAGGCCTGGTTTAGATTGCAAATTTTTGCAATCCGGACACCGTAGCACGTTTCGTTTGTATTTGACAAACTTTGTCCGATCATGGACTAACTAGGCTCAAAAGATTCGTCTCGTGATTTACAACCAAACTGTGTAATTAGTTATTTTTTTTACCTACATTTAATGCTCCATGTATGCATTCAAAAATTGATGTAATGGAGAGAGAGTAAAAAACCTTGAAATTTTGAGGCAATCTAAGCAAGGCCGCAGGGCTGATCGGCGCAGCATTGATTTGCAAATGGGATGGGCGGCATGCCGCATGCATGCTTGATTCCAATTTATATTATTTCTTCTTCCATACCATCTCATCTTTGATTGTTCAGACATACAGATCGAGAGTTCTCTTATTCTTTTTTTTTCTTTTCAAAAGGACAGCAAAGAGTTTGCCACGAGTTGAGTTTTGTTAGATCATATTAAACAGAGAAAAATAAGAAAAACAATATATAGAGCAATAGAAGTTTGAAATAACAAATTGTAGACTGCAAGAGCATCTCAAGGAGCACTTTAAAACAACTCCCTAATTTGTCTTTTTAGAAAAGGGGAAGAATTAGATTTTCTGGAGAAGAAGCCACGGACCCCCGTGTCGTCATCCGCAGCGACTCGGGGGGCGCTCAACCACCGCTGCCGAGGACATCTCTAGGATGCCCTTCCGGCTGCCGCCACCGCTCCCAGGGCGAGCGGCGGTGGCGGCTAGCGGCGCTGCGCTCAAAAAGGCGGGGCTCTAAGGTTTCTTCTCCCTCTCCTGCTTTCTCTCTTCCCCTCCCTAGTCGCCCTCCCCAAGCTCCCCTTGGCCGGCGGCGGGGACCGTGTCGACGACGGATCTGGCTGCCTCAGCTCCTTCCGGCCCAGATCCCTCTGTTTGCCCTGACCCCGGATCTACGCGGTGCCATCCGCGCCGCGGGGGCCACCGGTCACGAGGCTG